ATGCCAAAATGTTCATAATACTGAGTAGAACAACTTTAATTCTTACCTCGAGGTCCAATTCGAAGTGTAAGTGGCTCAAACTGCCTGTTGAAGTTGCTGATTTCACTGTTGACGAACCAACTTCGAGGCGTCGCCCTGCCTTCACCACACCTCCTATGGCTCCGATTCTTCTTGGGTTATGTTCAAAAGATAGCAGGCTTTCTATCTGGGTTGGTGGTGTCGATCACCTCCACCGTACGCCGCCGCAGAAGCCGTCGGAAATCGCCTCTCCGATGAGCTCTCAAACCTCCGGATTCAATTGCAATTTCTGAATCCTCAACAGTGTCCTTCTGAAATTTATAGGCAAAGTCTCTGTTCAGAATCGCCACCCTGCGCCGCCACGCGCCGCCACCGCCGGTGGTGGTTTGGGTACTATTCCGGCGACGGACCACCCTAAAATCGCCGGTCAAGACCTATGCCAAAATATTCGTAATACTGATTAGAACAACTTTAATTCTTACCTCGAGGTCCAATTCGAAGTGTAAGTGGCTCAAACCGCCGGTTGAAGTTGCTGATTTCACTATTGACGAACCAACTTCACGGCGTCGCCCAGCCTTCAGCGCACCTCCGATGGCTCCGATTCTTCTTGGGTTATGTTCACAAGATATCAGGCTTCCTATCTGGGTTGGTGGTGTTGATCACCTCCACCGTACGCCGCCGCAGAAGCCGCCGGAAATCGCCTCTCCGACGAGCTCTCAAACCTCCGGGGACCAAAATGAGAAATCTGATTTGCACAGTAACCCTCCACAAAATATAAACCAAAATCTGTCACTGTTTAGTTTTTGCAAATAAGTCCCTAAAACTTCAATCGAGCATAACTTCTTCATTTCAACTCGGATTCGCGAACCGTTTGCGCCTACGCGTTCGTGAGATCAATCTCGATTTTCCAAATCAAAAATCATAATTTTCTCGCTTCAATTTCTTGTACTTCCTTTGTAAAATCATAAACTTAATCATAAAGGTATTTTGTCCCAAATTGAGATTAAGTCACTTAATTCCAATATTTCCACACCAAACCAAAATCATACAACATCCAAAATAGTCACACGACTTAATAATATTTTCCACAAAAATAATAAAACCAAATATTATTTTTGAGGGTATTACACGTATAGGCATCATGAGATACAACTTAAGACTGAAAAGTTGCTTGGAAAACGACCAGTTGCTTTATACAGAGAATAAAACTTGAAGCTTCTAACCAAAATTACAGGTTGTTTTTCCCAGAGCAACCGGTCGCTTTTCATAGACTCTAATATTTTCGACAATTCTCCACCATTAGCGCTACAAGCTAGCGATGAGATTGCTGAATGATGCTGGGTGGGATAGTGCATGAAGCTAATTCCTAATCCGAACCCCAAATGTCTCTGATTCCAAAACAGCCTATATGGTTTCCTCCAACATCTCATTTAGTCACATGTAAATGGGCAAGAACAGACTTCCAAAGAAAATAGTCTCTTACCTAGACTGGAATACGAAGGCTAAGATATATTATTAGCCCCATGAATGATCGAGTGGTTAGAACAAAATTGGGAACTTCGAACTTAAAATTTGATCTCATAACAAAGGAAGGGAAATGAGGAAATTTCTCGGAAAACAAACAAGAATGAATGAAGGAGTAGTAAAATTATAATGATCTAACGAGTGAAATGTACAGCTGCTCTTTAATATAGACACGCAAGGCAACAATAGCCAGCTCAGCTTCTTACTGTGCAACAACCAGTAAGAAAATTGGTTATATATGCACAAAAAATTAAGATTGTGTATATAAGTCATGAATATTATATGT